ATATATTGAGGCGATGATAACCAATACTGAGTGAAACATTAGACAAGAGAAAGTGAAGAAAGTCCAATCTGAAACTAGTTTCGGAAAAGACAGAAGGCAGTAAGAATTTTTGAGCTGAGAGACTCAATTCATTAGTTCTCGTTGAAAAATATGTGGATCGAAAATTTAATTGAAATATAAAATTCCAATAATGTATTGCATTGGTGCTTTACGATTTCAGAATGTCCATCTTTAAAACAGAAGTTTATAACAACCTTGTGTGAAAAATTCTAACAACTCACCATTTTGAAAATTGACACTGAGGTTGACTTGATAGGAAAATACTTGTAACCTTCACCGGTGAGACTGGAGAAGCAACTGATACAAACAACTAAAAACTCTCTATATTTATTCTCGCGGTTGTAGGAGAAATCCGGTCACCCAAACAAACCGTAGTGAGGTAAAACCAGAATTTCAGTATGACGTCGTAGAAGAAGCTGTAAAACCTAATAAACAGAGCATGACTGTCCGAAATTCAGATGGAAATGCCGTTTTGAGAATTGCATAGTTTATTTACGCAACAAAATACTTTGAATGATGACTTTCCGTTTAATCACTTATTAGTTAATCATAATGATGATCAGTGGTTTCAATCGCAGAATTTTAATAGCATTTTTTGCACTGGTTGAGTGATTCAGCCACAAATTGTGACCAGTTATGAATGTTGTAATATCTGATATTGATCACGATGAAGTTGCTAATAAAACACCTTTTTAGAACGATGTTCAAAAAAAAAGGTGAAGGTTCAAATTTCTCGGGCTTATAAATACATTCAATTAGCGATGCTATTATGTTTCATGCTGGTACACTAGTTTGATATATTGATTTGTTGATGACAGGCATAAAAGATGGGATTGTTTTGCGTGTTCCGAGATTTTCTGCTATCGAAAAACAATGCTTAAAAGAATTTTGCATCAAATTTTGTGTATAAAATGGTTGGTTTAGGTTAGGTTAGATCTGAAGTGAGTGGGTCTATTCGACCCTCCACCGCAACCCGCAAGAGTTTATTGTGGCTCACACATATTCACACTCGGCCAAATAAAACCAGCTTTTCAACGAAGCCGATTAGCTTGTATGGTGAGTGGTCTTTCAGGTCAGATGGTTAGAGTACGGCTCTGCAATATTTTATGAGTGAACGTGAGAAGGTGCAGTTCTCTCAGGGCATTAAGTTTCAGCCAACCTGAATTCTCAAAGGATGAGCTTATGTGATCGTATTTACGGATTACAAACGAAAATCGAATACAACTATTTTGTATTTTCTGAAGACGCCGATCATCAGTTTGTAGTAAAGCTGGTCCGTAAATGCTATCACAGTAGGCCAGTCTTGAGAGTATCAGAGACTCACAGAGGCTGAGTTTCAAGTTTTTAGACATTACAAGTCTGTTANCTTTTAGTCGATTGATGGTGGTTTCTTCAATGGTCAGAGTTTCAAAACACTCCATATATATGTTGGCTATGACTAGTGAAAGTGGCGATCCCATTGGCAGTCCCTCATCTTGTGTAAAGAATTCGTCCTTCAGTTGGAAATAACAGTTTCATACACAGCATCCTAGTAATTCCATGATTACTTCTAAAGTAGACAATGGAAGTCCGAACTAGTGAAATTCATCATGTAAATCACCTTCAAACATTTCAAATCATATTAGACAATGGAAGTCCGAACTGATAAAATCCACCATGAAACATTGTCATCCATTTTGAAACGTTGTGAATAAATAGACATATTGCTCTGAACAATTGAAAAAAGAAAACCCTCTCAATCAGATTCACAGAGATACTTGTTCAAAGGAGCCGGTAGTCTCCATTTTGCTTCCTCGCCATTCATCATCCAGCTTTGTTATTTCAGCTTCAAAAACGCCAGATTCTATTTCAATTCAAAAGGATCCGAGCGTATCCTTTCCCGACTTGAAATAATTCGCCTGAATGAAATTTCCCCGAGAGTAGTTTAAATCCATTGGAAATGTCTATTGTGACTTATTTATTGTTTCTCACGGAATGACCTCTTTTATCTCGATGCTACTTATCTCCTTCGTTTGGTAAATGGGTTTGTCAAGAACACTACTTCGATTGTTTCCGTTCCTTTCTTTTTGTCGCCGGATAATCAACTCGAGGTGCTCCGATCTATCTTGAGAAGTTCAGCCAGAGTCTGAAGACGTATTTCATTCCTGTGTGACGGCGATTTTTCAACTGGGAGCAGGATCAGATGAATCGAATTGTTTTAACGGGAAAAGCCCGACATTCATGATGAGAGAGTTCAAACTTTCACGGACGGAGATAACTATGTCAAAGCTATTTTCCGGGTTTTCTGCCGTGACATAAAAGTTTTTCCATTGACATACCTCGTTAGAGTTACCTTGACATTGTCTCCATTCCTTTGTAGTCAAAATGTAGGAAAATCACTACATAGTAATGAGTAATTTTTTTGCCGGTATCTTTTTGGCAACACTGTTTTTGACAGATTACGAGTGAATCGTGTCTTGTGTCATTGTCAAACTTGTTCAGTTTTGTCTATAATTTAACCACGAATCGACTTACGAATGAACAACGCTTGCAAATTATTGAATTTTATTGTCAAAATTCATTGTCGGTGAAGAAAGTGCATCGTGCACTTCTTCCAATTTATGGGCAGTTTCGTAGGCCTCCTGAGGGAGCTATTCGGAAGCTTGTGACTAAATTTCGAACCCAGTTCACATTATTGAACATTGAACCACCAACACGCATACATAGTGTGAGGACCGAAGGAAATATTGCGGCTGTATCCGCCAGTGTTCGTGATGACCGTGAAATGTCGATTCGCCGCCGTTCGCAGCAATTAGGCCTCCGTTACTCTACTATTTGGGAAATTTTGCGGAAGGATTTGGATGTAAAAACTTATAAGATACAGCTGGTGCAAGAATTGAAGCCATGCGATCTGCCACAACGTCTAACATTTGGTGAATGGGCGCTGGTAAAGTTGGAGGAAGATCCACATTTCGTTTGAAAAATTGTGTTCAGCGACTGTGAATGGCGAGTGCTACCTTGTGATAATTGACGACTTTTTGTTGCCAAAAATGGAAGAATTGGACATCCCTGACATGTGGTTTCAACAAGACAGTGCCACACGGCACGCGAAACAATGGCCCAATTAAGAGCCGCCTTCGGTGAACAGTTTATCTCACGTTTGGGGCCCGTCAATTGGCCACCTAGATCGCATGATTTAATGCCTTTGGATTATTTCTTGTGGAGTCATGTTAAGGCTCATGTCTACAGGGATAAATGGGATAAACCAGCAACGACTGACGCTCTGGAAGTCAATATTGTAGCATTTTTACGTGAAATACCGGTCGATATGTTAGAGAGTGTGCCAAAATTAAACCTTGCGCATGGGCCATCTAAAACGGAGCCGCGGACAACATTTGCATGAAATCATCTTCAAACAATAANGTCATATATTATTTTTAAATCTATCTGATACTTTATAATGTTAATTTCCTGAATAGTATGAAACAACAAACATCGTTTGATTACACTCACATAATAACAATCAGCAATTCTTGCAGATGTTTTGAATCCCCCATTTTCCCCTTCCCTCCCCTCATCCAACTCTGACATTCACTGAGCTATTACCGGAGTCTTGAGTAGGGTCTGGAGTATTAATAGCTCGAGATTGGTATCGCATAAGCTTTTGTGTAATCGGATATTATGTTTCAGGACCTGCGACTACATTTACCAGGAATCTATTATTATGGCCCATTTTTATTTCCAAGGATTTGCATTTCCTGCATGTTGACAAACAAACGACTCGCAAACCGCTGTCGACTTGATTTACTCGAGGACTGAAAAACAATGGAAACCGCTAATCAAACCACGTAGCATGAGCTCTCGTAGAATTAACTTGCGAGGTGGTATTTTCGAGATTTCATTTGAAAAACTAGAGAAATAATGGAATGTTCAACTAAATACCTACTCACGATATTTTTCATTACAAAGTCAATTCAGATTTCAAAAGACAAATATTGGTGAACTTTCAAATACGATGCACTCCCGATTTTTAAAAACATGCATTATCAAATTTAAAGATATGAAGCGCTCAATAAAAAACCGTATTCTTTGCAAGTTGAAGGAAATATCGGGCTCTCATACTTGCTAATATCCCCGTCCGATTGTAGTATATGCACCAAATCACCTAAGCCGTTGCAATTCCTGTATACTCTGCGGGAATTCGATAGGGGCGAACTATCGGGGATTATTGCATTAATAGTGAGAGGACGGATCAAAACGTGGGGTCTATATATAGGACGCAGATAGTGGTCGTGTCTGACCTTTCCAAATTGGGGTACGTTAATTGATCAAATTGGGACCTGATACCTCCATTCACTATCGATTGCCCATCAGTTCGAAAATTATAGTTACGGAAGCTCAAAAGAATTTTCTAACTAATATCTTTTCCGTCATTAATTACACTAGCCAACAAATAAGAAAAAAAATTGAGACTGATATTATAATGGCTATACATGAGAGTTTAAAGCACCCTGACAACATCATGTAGAGATTTTGAGTCATAGTTATTTTCATTTTATACAAAAATTTTCACATATTATAGGGAAATATAAGATCAAAACAAAAAAAACAATTCATTTTGAGGTTGACAGACTTCATTTACAATACACACGAAAAAACATTGAACTGAAGTCTTTTGTACATAACCTTATTGCAAATGTTGAGTTTCCTTTATATGTTTCATTGTTTTCCCTCATAAAGAAACCAACAATAATCCCCATCATTGCTGCACCCCATCTGCCTTGGTAACGTTGCTCCATTGTCTTGTTGGAACCTTTCCCCTTGTTCGTCACTAACAGCACCCAAATTTTCTGGGAAAAAATACAAATGGGAGTGCAAGAAATGAATTTTGAGAGACATGCGACATCCCATTCTGCAGTAGTTTTCAAGTAGTTCTTCTACAAGTGTTTCGTTATTTTCTACTTTCTTGTTCCCTAAAAACTCCGAAACAACTTTGTAATTTCAGTTTTTTGATTAATAAAATTGTTATTTTCGGTTAATCTTTTTGATTTATTTTTCAGGGTTATCAAATCAATTTATATTATATTAGACAATGGAAGTCCGAACTGATGAAATATACCACGAAACATTGTCAACCACCTTCAAACAAATATTTAAACGCATCACCTTCTTTGTCTAATGCTTTTACATAATTTTTCATTAACCTCAGTTTAATGTGTAATGGAGGTAACAGAACGTTTTTGGGATTAACAAGAGGTATATTCTTCACGTTAGCTTCCTGGAATACATTTATCTCTCGGAGGCCATTCTTTTACTTGATAATGGCTCTGTGTTGCCCTACTGTTCCAAAGGCAAACAGCAGGACTTCAT